CAAATCACAGTTTGTTAACTCACGTATAGGGGAGTTAAACAGTTTAATTGTCGACATGGTTTATAATAGGAAAACATGTTTATTATAGATAACTCTGTACTAGGTTCTGTTAACGGATGTATGCCCTCTAAGTATGGTAGATTCTCACGTGATGGCACACCATTGGTCAATGATGTTGTTCATCTCGGGAGAGAAGGCCTGAAAATATTTTGTATGAACATAAAACGGTGTATTGTACAACGTGGTGGAAGTCAGTCCACGGAAAGATTTAAAGGTGGAAATGGTGACTATAGGAGTGCCCTAAGTAGGGGTAGTACGGGTGATATCTTACCGATATGACCTCAATAAACTTCAATATTACAAGAGAGAGATGTCCAGGTTGTGATAGCAATGTACTAAGCCATCATAAAATCATAATATGTGAGAGTTGCGATACAATATATCATGCCAAATGTTCTGAACAGAGTTTTAAATTTGATCATGTTAAACAAATGTGGCACTGCAGTCAGTGTTACGCCTTCAAATCCCAAAGGTACAATCCTTTTAACTCAATTATTTATGACAAATATGATCCCAACACTGTAGAAAGAGACGAGGATATGGAGACTATTTCAAACATTCTAAAAGACTGTAGGTATTATAACATGACAAATTTCAACCGGCTGTCAAAAAACATACTTAACCATAACAAGCCGTTTATATCTATTGTGTTTAACAACATTGATGGGAACGCATCTAACTTTGACAGCTTTATTACTGATATGAGTCAATATGATGAGAAATTTGCAGTTATTGCGCTAGCTGAAACAAACATTAATGAGGAAAATAAAGATCTATACAAAATTGATGGTTACAGCAGTGAGTACAACTCTAAAACTGATGGGAAAAAGAAAGGTAGTGGCCTTGGTATATATATTGACAATCAGTACCAATACAGCCGAATCGAAAAGTTATGTAAATGCTCTGACAATCTTGAAACACTTTTCGTTGAGATCACTAACACAGAGGTTCCACAGATTGCTGGTGTTGTTTACAGGCCCCCTAGTGGTGATATTCAAGATGCACTTGCTGAGCTTGATGTGTTGATGAAATTTCTACCGTCTAATAATGTAGCCTTGACAGGTGACTTCAATGTTGATCTTTTGGCCCAGGGACGAAACTCAGCTGAATTTGAACAAACTATCTACAGTAACAATTTAATCCCTTTGATATCGATTGCCACCCATGCCAAGCCGGGTTGCAATGAAAGCTTAATTGATAATATTTTAGTGAACTCTACTGAGCGTGTGTTAGGATCTGGAATTCTTGAATCCAAGATTTCCCATCATAACCCCATCTTCTGTTTCATATCGTGTAATATTAAAGAGAGTTCAAATACTGCCAAACTTAAACCTAAGTATGATTACTGTGAGTCTAATATAGAAAGTTTCCTTAATGATATTGGAAAGGATATCTACCAATCGAACTTTTCGTATGATGAGGAAGGTTTTGAAAAATTTGTCGAAACTGTCCACGAAAAAATCGAACTGAATTTCAAAGTGGACTGTACTGCTGGTTTTCAATCAAAACGCAATAGATTGATGAATCCATGGATCACTTCTGCGTTAATTAAATCTGTGTTTACTAAAGGCTTTCACTACAAGCGATGGAAGGCTTCGTGTACCAAAATCAACCCATTAGGTGAGGAAACTTTATATCTTAAGTATAAGGAGTATCGTTCTATCTTAAACAAAGCTATAAAATCTGCGAAAAAAGCCCACTATGGGAAAAAATTTGAACTTGCTAAAGGAAATATTAAAAAAACCTGGGAATTGATCAACGAACTCAGGGGTAAATCTAAAAAAGATATAAAAGCATCATTCTTAATTGATGGTAGAATTGTAACTGAACGCCGTGAGATTGCCAACGGATTTAACATCTACTTCTCGTCTATTGCTCGTAATCTTAATTCAAAAGTTCGATCTTCTGTACCATCTCGTACGGTAACTGATGGCAATTTCAATAAAATGAAGTTTAAACAATACCTCAAGGGCAGAGAAAGAATAGTGAACTCTTTTTTTCTCAGCCCCTGTGACGAGGAAGAGATAAGTAAAATTATTGGTAGCCTTGAAAATGGGAAGGCAAGTGATATCTCTGTTAAAGTCTTGAAAAAGAGTGTAAATTATCTGTCTGGTCATATCTCTAGATTCTTTAATTGGTTCTTGGACAATGGGGTCTTTCCAAACAAGCTTAAAACGGGCTCTATTACACCAATTTATAAAAAAGGAGACTCACGATGCCTTGATAACTATCGACCTGTTTCTACATTACCGATATTTGGCAAAATACTTGAAAAAATAATTTATAATAGGTTATATAATTACCTCAGTGCTATGAACGTGATTTATGATCGACAATTTGGTTTTAGAAAACAACACTCAACATCTCATGCCGTAAACTATTCTGTCAATAAAATACTTAATGAGACTGAACAGAAAAATCATGTAATTGGAATATTTATTGATCTAAGTAAAGCATTTGACACAATTGAGCACGATAAACTCCTGCATAAACTTGAACACTATGGAGTAAGAGGTATTGCACTAAAAACTCTTGCTAGCTATCTAACAAACCGTAGCCAAGTAACTTCTTTTCAAACTGAAAAATCGGACAAGTGTTCAGTTGAGTATGGTGTACCCCAGGGGTCAGTGTTAGGACCTCTACTATTTCTGATTTATATAAATGATATTGTGAGCTCCTCAAGTTTGGCTGAATTCGTCCTGTTTGCTGATGATACAAATATTTTTGTGATAGGTCGTTCAGCACAGGAAGCTTTTGAAAAAGCTAATCATGTAATGAAACAGGTCAGTAACTATATGGAGTCTAACAAGTTACATATAAATGCAGGGAAAAGTTGTTTTATGCATTTTCAGCCAGGTTTGTCAAGAGCAACACAGACCTGTGCTAGAACACGGCCCTTTAACAGGAATCTAACGATTTCAATAGATGGCAAAAAGCTAGAAAAAGTTCAATGTACAAAATTTCTTGGGGTGATAATAGACGAACAGCTATGTTGGGAACCACATCTTAATCATTTATCTTTAAAGCTGAACTCCAGTATTGTATCGATTAAGAGAATTTGCAAATTCATTCCCAAATCTGAATATTTGAAACTATACAATGCTCTTTTTATGTCACATCTTAGCTATTGTATAAGTTGCTGGGGTGGGATCCCTAAACATAAGCTGAATAAAATCTTTGCTATTCAAAAACGATGTATACGACTGCTATTTGGTAACATTCCCAATTTTGATCATAAAGAATACTACTTAACCTGTGCACGTTCAAGAACTTATAACGAACATATGGCTAAAAAGAACTACTGTCTTGAACACACTAAACCGCTATTCACTGAGCAGAAAATTATGAACCTGGAGAATCTGCACATGTACCATACATTTATGGAGCTATTCAAAATTCTTAAATTTGATGTCCCCCAGTCGATTAAAGATCTTTTCAAGTTCTGTCCTAGAAATGAAAAACTTCGTCTGATTGTCCCATTACTGAGGTTAGATATCTCCCAACAGAACTTTTTGTACACCTCTACGAAAATATGGAATGATCTCATCCCCTATGTATTCGAAATATGTGATGCTAATGTAGATGGGATAATAATCCCGGGGTCTTCCAAAAATTCAGACTTATCAGCCTCGTCAGGTATTATTAAATCTAACCTTAAAAAGCACTTGCTATCCCTCCAAAATCGAGGTGACCCTAATATATGGTAACTAATCTATATTATATCTCAAATTCTACATCTGGTACGGCTCTGCACACACGATATCTCTCTCTGCCATGAAACATGGCTAACCTTTCAAACTATGATTTAAAACATAAACCTAAACTAAAACTCAACTGGGCTCTCCTATGTCACCAAACTAGACCAATAAGCAATTTTAGCTTAGATAATTATATTTTTCTATATTTGTATAATAAGTTTTATATTGACGTAGTGGATGGTTGAGGGGGTTTCAAGCACAGGTCACTCTCAAATCCTAAAGATAAGCAGTGGCCTTCGGCACTTGAAACCTCTTCAAACCTCCCCTGATTTATTTATTATTGATATTGTTTGATTGTGCCGTAAAAATAAATATTTGTTTTATTAATATTTGTTTTAAATATTTGTTTTATTATTAATACTGCATACACTATATTATAATACTGTGTACTACAGGGCACAGGCTATATAATACTGCATACACTATATTATAATACTGTGTACTACAGGGCACAGGCTATATAATACTGCATACACTATATTATAATACTGTGTACTACAGGGCACAGGCTATATAATACTGCATACACTATATTATAATACTGTGTACTACAGGGTACAGGCTATATAATACTGCATACACTATATTATAATACTGTGTACTACAGGGCACAGGCTTTATAATACTGCATACACTATATTATAATACTGTGTACTACAGGGCACAGGCTATATAATACTGCATACACTATATTATAATACTGTGTACTACAGGGCACAGGCTATATAATACTACTGTATACACTATATTATAATACTGTATAGAATATTTATACGAGGGAGTATTTTGATTACTATATTCAATATTCATGATGCTCTCCTTGCATCTAAAATGTGCAAACATGTGGCTACGGGTCTGCAGATTGCATCAATTAGATACCGGATTTTAGGAAGAGAGTATTTCAAATATTGTAACAATTATTTATCTTATATTTTTGTAAAAGTGAGTCACAAGTGGGAAACGATAAACAGGGTGCTGTAAGGGTCCCCATTTTATTTGGGCGTTGGGAGAACGTTTTTGGCGCGTAAGAGGTGTACATTTTAGGCATTGGTCCTCTTTCATACGAGTCATATGAAAGACCTAACCAATGTCGAGAAAAACAGATCAAACAGAAATATGATGAATTAGAAGAATTTTTGATCGATTATATAATAATGGGACAGTGGATAGGATTTTAAAATATCATACGGGATGAATTTTAACTGGAAGAATATATATTAATTCCCTCGCAGCACTCCAATTTCAAAAAATTCAGTAAATATATTCACTAAGGCTCGCACAGTAATAAAAGTTATCACATTCGATAGCAACTACAAGGGCATAAACTCGCTGTTTGTATCTAACAGAACTATCAGTTTCTTAGCAACAGGATGAAATTGAGTAATCCAAGATTGGATGTCACAGTAACTGTGGTCGGTGTAATCAGTGAGAAGGGAGAGGAGTCTGGTCGTCTCATCTTCTCTTCTTTTTACTTCTTCTGGGGTTATCACTTTGGTTATTCAGTCATTTCTGTCGCAGGATAATTAGAAATAAAAGCGAGATTTAATGTTTAAACGATTTATAGAGATTACAGTTTTAATATAAAATATAAATCAAATATGACTAGAATGCAATTTAACGTGCATAGACTTACTGAGATAGAGTACATTCCACAGCAAGTATAGAGTAACAGTTGATAGTTCCACATCTAGCATTCCAACATCACACAACACATCTATACACTGGGTTACCTGATGAAGAGGGGCTAATAACACATCTCAACAACAAGGAAATATCGTAAACCTATTGTCAAATATCGGTATCAAGTAATAAATGTAATATATTCATATTTCATAAACTCAACATACTATTTTGGAAGGAAGTTTATTGTGAAACTCTTTGAATTTAGTGATGTTAATCAACACTCCGCACGCCTTATACACCAAATCACTGTTCTCAGAATCTGGGAATGAAATAATCTTAATTAGTTTTACTATTGTTTTTAATATTGTTATATGTCATGTAAATAAACTTGAAAACTTTATTCCTCTCTTCCGACTAGACCTATGATATGGGCTATGGCTCTAACATTACTATACTATATATATTTAATACTTACAACACTACTATATAACAAATAATTTGAGGAAACGATGTAACAGAGTCGATATATTTTAATGTTGCCATGGGGTGGCAAGTCCCCATACATCGCAGTCCGGTAGTTTCATTGCGTCATAATATAACGTTACGTGAAGGTAAAGAAAACTATGACCCACCGAGAAGAGTGGCTGCAATCTCAATAACGTGCTTATCTCCAGCAAGCTTTTCCACTACATCGTGATATTGAGTCAGATTACCCAGCACTCCGAGTGTCTGAGGATAAATCAATTAATCATTAATCGGCTGATTCATTACGTTATTTTAATGCAGAATAACTAATATCATAAATCTGATTACATAGAACGCCTGCACCGAGATAGTGCCAGTTAATGAGCAACACTATTCACTAACTTCTATAGTAATAGCCGTGTTGTTGACAGCGAGCAGTCGGATAAGGAAGTCGGTGAGAATACCCCTGTGTTTAACAAACACTGAACCCTCCTTGTTATGATACGACATATTGTTCAGCCCACACAATACGTTCAGTGATATCTGGATACATGTTGTTAAGTGTCAATACCATTAATTAGATATAAAGCAGCACACAACACGTTCAGTGATATCTGGATACATGTTGTTAAGTGTCAATACCATTAATTAGATATAAAGCAGCACACAACACGTTCAGTGATATCTGGATACATGTTGTTAAGTGTCAATACCATTAATTAGATATAAAGCAGCACACAACACGTTCAGTGATATCTGGATACATGTTGTTAAGTGTCAATACCATTAATTAGATATAAAGCAGCACACAACACGTTCAGTGATATCTGGATACATGTTGTTAAGTGTCAATACCATTAATTAGATATAAAGCAGCACACAACACGTTCAGTGATATCTGGATACATGTTGTTAAGTGTCAATACCATTAATTAGATATAAAGCAGTATCCCATATCAATAATCCATACTATTAAAGATACAGAATGCTGAAATAATTTAAAAATAACATGAATTTATACAAATCTAAATTTAAACTACAACTTGAACTTCTACATTTAGAATGATCCTGAAGGGGGATTATTTAAAACATAACACGAAAAGATTGTTTAGCAGTGCCCAGTGACTGTCGATGAAGCAGAAAACTACAATGACAGCCTTGGTGGTGCCATCGATCACATACCACCCCACAATTTACTATGCGTTGTAGGAGACCTCAATGCGCATGTCTCATCATCAGGAAACTGGACTTCTTTCCGTTTAAAGGGTCCAGCAAACCGAAATGGTAGACTGCTAGAGGATATGTTGTTGGAGCGACAGCTAGAAATCACAAACACCAGATTTCAGAAGCGAAGAGGTAAACTCTGGACATATCTTTAAGTTATGAGTCAGAGTAGATCTCAAATCGACTTCACCATTTGCTGGAAGAAATGGCGGAACGAACTCCGAAGCATATGGTAGTTTCCACAGTATTGGCTAAGATCACAGAGTAGTCGTAGCAAGGGTTAAGCTTAGTCTCCGGATGAGCGAAACGGAGAAGAGGGATCCGGTTCTGGACTTGTCTAAACTTAAAACTGACATCGCTCTACAAGAGAGATATACAGTATAAAATAAAAACAGATTTTCTATACTTGAATAGGATGATCAGACAGCAACAGAAAGGTATCAATGCTTCATTGATGCGAATAGTACAACTTCTCCATTTTTGCTCCCTACAAAGGAGAAAAAGAAAAGAAGTAAAATCTCAGCGACTCCAAGTGTTGAGGTTGCTAGGCTGAAGCTGAGGGAATGTAGCATAAAAGTTTACCTCATGTATCTTAGCTTGAGAAGCAATCTGACCAAGTGACACGAACATCTTTATGAGTTGAGGTGTTACTGATACGGCTATTTTCTGAAAAACAAATATTTAAACTTTGGCTAGTAAGGTAATTAAAAAAGGTTTTTAACTAGTTAGTTATCAACCATTTCGTTCGTATAACGGCAAATAGGTATAATGTCGCGCCTATTTTACCCATATTAGGGGTGTATATGTAGTATGTCGCGCCTATTTTACCCATATTAGGAGTGTATATGTAGTATGAATCAGGAAGCGGGGGTAAGAGGAGCGAAAATGGGCCAACTTTTTGGGCTCATTTGGCCAATCTGCCATTATCTAATTTACCTTTAATTGGGTTTCTGACATTTTATATTTACCAGAGTGGACCAGCAATACATACACATGATATTGTATTGTCAGAAAATAGTTTGGACTGTAGATGTTTTGGATTGTAGATACTAAAAGGTTTATCATAAAATAACCACGTTGTACATAAGTAATTACGTTGTACATAAGTAATTAAACTGGACTGTAGATAATTGTTAATAATAATGGACTTTAGTTCCAACTATGTAAAAACTTCTGATGGGGTAACATCCAAACTTGCACAAATTATTTGTCTTAAAGCTATCTTACTATCTAGAAATTTTCAAGAAAATCGTATCGTTGGATCTCCATATATAATAATATGCTTTGGAACCACTGAAAACCACCGAATTGGATATATTTTTTGTGTTTAAGGTAATATCATAAACTTGGCACATAGAAACTCGCTCAAACTCCTGGAGATAATTCGTCCTATAACCACCATACTTTATGGAAAGTTTTAAGAAAATCGTACGGTAGGATCCGACATAAACTATTGTCCAAATAACCTATTTTCTGAGTCGGACAGATGTCGCTGTCGGACAGATGTCGCCCAATCACTTGATGGGTATGCGAATAGTTATACACATTGTAATCCAGATCTTGCATGGGAGCTTAGAAATAAAAATTTACTGCAAAATAGCGATCAACATTTCTTACTTCATTTTGAAGAGTGTTGGTAATAACCCGAACTGCTTTACACAGAACATCCTTTGTTATTGTTTGCTTCTCTTTTGTCGTCTTGTCCCCTAATTTCGCCTTGTAAACTGTAATTCAAGATTATTCAGAAATTATTTGGATCTGAACTGATCCCAAACAAGGAGAATGAAAGGAATTACTCCTAGCAGTATCCCGGAGGAGTTCATAACACAAAACGCCTGACACTTAGTGTCATATTAAGATAACCCCTCGTGCTATTTATGATGATAATTTGATCATCATTAATAAATCGTGTTTAATTAGATAGGTATATTAACATCTGTTATGTTTGTTAATTAATATGTTGGTTAATCAATATCTTACTATATATAAAACGAGACGATATATTATACTAACTAGCAGGAACCCGTCTAACCCTAAAATGGTGTCAAGACTCAAGAGACTAAAACAATTATTACCTATTTAATTCGCGTTTTTGACACCACTTGGGGTACCAAATTTTGGGCTCTAAAACTCCTATTTCTTGGCCAATTTTTTATTTTTTCATGCTGATTTGGAGGCCATTAAAGCATTTGACCCAGTCAAAAAAGTTTCAGTTGTATATCTTTTACGGTTTTTGCAGAAATTCGCGTTAAAGTTGATGCCGTGGTGTCAGTAAAATGGCACGGATAAATATATATATATATATACAACAACTATTTATTATATATATATTATATATATATATATATATATAATAAATAGTTGTTGTTTGGTTTCCCAAAGAGAGTGCTCGACTGCAGTTAAGCAGGAGCATTATAATTCGAACAATTGAAACAAATCAAATTGGCGGGCAAACGATCCGTTTCATGATATGTATAAAAACAATACCAATCATCAGTGCCAAATAGAATAATGAATTGTAGCGCTATGACATGTTGCTCCTTTATAAAATAATTTTTATCGATCATGAAACATTTTCAAAATTATCAAAATTTACAAAATTTCCAAAAAGACAGTTTATTGTGTCCGTCCCAATTTTAAAATTTTAAAATTGTCTATGAGTATGAAGTAAGGTAGTAAGATATCTTTGGCTTTTAAAGTTGTAAACTGCGTTGGCCTTCGTGTAGTGGTAGAGGAAAATTCTTTACTGAGTTCCGTGAAGCTGGTAGAACTAGGATCCGTATTTGAGAGTTAATTGTTGATTCTGGTTATCAAACGAGAGTGCTCAACAACGACGAGTCGAAGGAGCATAACTAATAAATAGTTGTTGTTTGGTTTCCCAAAGAGAGTGCTCGACTGCAGTTAAGCAGGAGCATTATAATTCGAACAATTGAAACAAATCAAATTGGCGGGCAAACGATCCGTTTCATGATATGTATAAAAACAATACCAATCATCAGTGCCAAATAGAATAATGAATTGTAGCGCTATGACATGTTGCTCCTTTATAAAATAATTTTTATCGATCATGAAACATTTTCAAAATTATCAAAATTTACAAAATTTCCAAAAAGACAGTTTATTGTGTCCGTCCCAATTTTAAAATTTTAAAATTGTCTATGAGTATGAAGTAAGGTAGTAAGATATCTTTGGCTTTTAAAGTTGTAAACTGCGTTGGCCTTCGTGTAGTGGTAGAGGAAAATTCTTTACTGAGTTCCGTGAAGCTGGTAGAACTAGGATCCGTATTTGAGAGTTAATTGTTGATTCTGGTTATCAAACGAGAGTGCTCAACAACGACGAGTCGAAGGAGCATAACTAATAAATAGTTGTTGTTTGGTTTCCCAAAGAGAGTGCTCGACTGCAGTTAAGCAGGAGCATTATAATTCGAACAATTGAAACAAATCAAATTGGCGGGCAAACGATCCGTTTCATGATATGTATAAAAACAATACCAATCATCAGTGCCAAATAGAATAATGAATTGTAGCGCTATGACATGTTGCTCCTTTATAAAATAATTTTTATCGATCATGAAACATTTTCAAAATTATCAAAATTTACAAAATTTCCAAAAAGACAGTTTATTGTGTCCGTCCCAATTTAATTAAAATTGTCTATGAGTATGAAGTAAGGTAGTAAGATATCTTTGGCTTTTAAAGTTGTAAACTGCGTTGGCCTTCGTGTAGTGGTAGAGGAAAATTCTTTACTGAGTTCCGTGAAGCTGGTAGAACTAGGATCCGTATTTGAGAGTTAATTGTTGATTCTGGTTATCAAACGAGAGTGCTCAACAACGACGAGTCGAAGGAGCATAACTAATAAATAGTTGTTGTTTGGTTTCCCAAAGAGAGTGCTCGACTGCAGTTAAGCAGGAGCATTATAATTCGAACAATTGAAACAAATCAAATTGGCGGGCAAACGATCCGTTTCATGATATGTATAAAAACAATACCAATCATCAGTGCCAAATAGAATAATGAATTGTAGCGCTATGACATGTTGCTCCTTTATAAAATAATTTTTATCGATCATGAAACATTTTCAAAATTATCAAAATTTACAAAATTTCCAAAAAGACAGTTTATTGTGTCCGTCCCAATTTTAAAATTTTAAAATTGTCTATGAGTATGAAGTAAGGTAGTAAGATATCTTTGGCTTTTAAAGTTGTAAACTGCGTTGGCCTTCGTGTAGTGGTAGAGGAAAATTCTTTACTGAGTTCCGTGAAGCTGGTAGAACTAGGATCCGTATTTGAGAGTTAATTGTTGATTCTCTCAAATTATTCTATTTGGCACTGATGATTGGTATTGTTTTTATACATATCATGAAACGGATCGTTTGCCCGCCAATTTGATTTGTTTCAATTGTTCGAATTATAATGCTCCTGCTTAACTGCAGTCGAGCACTCTCTTTGGGAAACCAAACAACAACTATTTATTAGTTATGCTCCTTCGACTCGTCGTTGTTGAGCACTCTCGTTTGATAACCAGAATCAACAATTAACTCTCAAATACGGATCCTAGTTCTACCAGCTTCACGGAACTCAGTAAAGAATTTTCCTCTACCACTACACGAAGGCCAACGCAGTTTACAACTTTAAAAGCCAAAGATATCTTACTACCTTACTTCATACTCATAGACAATTTTAAAATTGGGACGGACACAATAAACTGTCTTTTTGGAAATTTTGTAAATTTTGATAATTTTGAAAATGTTTCATGATCGATAAAAATTATTTTATAAAGGAGCAACATGTCATAGCGCTACAATTCATTATTCTATTTGGCACTGATGATTGGTATTGTTTTTATACATATCATGAAACGGATCGTTTGCCCGCCAATTTGATTTGTTTCAATTGTTCGAATTATAATGCTCCTGCTTAACTGCAGTCGAGCACTCTCTTTGGGAAACCAAACAACAACTATTTATTAGTTATGCTCCTTCGACTCGTCGTTGTTGAGCACTCTCGTTTGATAACCAGAATCAACAATTAACTCTCAAATACGGATCCTAGTTCTACCAGCTTCACGGAACTCAGTAAAGAATTTTCCTCTACCACTACACGAAGGCCAACGCAGTTTACAACTTTAAAAGCCAAAGATATCTTACTACCTTACTTCATACTCATAGACAATTTTAAAATTTTAAAATTGGGACGGACACAATAAACTGTCTTTTTGGAAATTTTGTAAATTTTGATAATTTTGAAAATGTTTCATGATCGATAAAAATTATTTTATAAAGGAGCAACATGTCATAGCGCTACAATTCATTATTCTATTTGGCACTGATGATTGGTATTGTTTTTATACATATCATGAAACGGATCGTTTGCCCGCCAATTTGATTTGTTTCAATTGTTCGAATTATAATGCTCCTGCTTAACTGCAGTCGAGCACTCTCTTTGGGAAACCAAACAACAACTATTTATTAGTTATGCTCCTTCGACTCGTCGTTGTTGAGCACTCTCGTTTGATAACCAGAATCAACAATTAACTCTCAAATACGGATCCTAGTTCTACCAGCTTCACGGAACTCAGTAAAGAATTTTCCTCTACCACTACACGAAGGCCAACCCAGTTTACAACTTTAAAAGCCAAAGATATCTTACTACCTTACTTCATACTCATAGACAATTTTAAAATTTTAAAATTGGGACGGACACAATAAACTGTCTTTTTGGAAATTTTGTAAATTTTGATAATTTTGAAAATGTTTCATGATCGATAAAAATTATTTTATAAAGGAGCAACATGTCATAGCGCTACAATTCATTATTCTATTTGGCACTGATGATTGGTATTGTTTTTATACATATCATGAAACGGATCGTTTGCCCGCCAATTTGATTTGTTTCAATTGTTCGAATTATATATATATAGCCAAGTAGCCAATCATAATATATGTATTTCTACCGGTGGCACATACTGGATGACGGTTAGATGAGTACACTACTCTCACAAGCATCTCGAGTCTCTCGGTGATCCTGCCTCCACACCACACTCAGTCTGGACTCCCTTCCGGCCGACCGAACTATTTTCCTAATATCTCCTAATATAACTTTGATCGAACAAGCCTAAATTCATGATGCACTATAAACTTGATTTGAGACAGAAATTTTAGACAATTTATCTGCTTACGTGTAATTTCAAACTCTTATCAGTTACCATGTCTTTTATCTAATTTTTATCAGCAGATTTATAAATCTGCTGTTCATTTGTAGTTATTACCTTGCTAGTTATGAGTAAATTTTTGCCTTCCATCAATTGAGTGCAGCTTTCAGTTTTAAAATTTTCAGTTTATTCAGATTTTTCGTTTTCGATATTGCAAATTTTTAATAAATCATGTTCAGATTATGGTGATAATGGATGTAAAGGTACTTCAACCGAATTAACAATCCAACCGTGTGTATGACGTGTCCCAGTAGCCAATCATAATATATATATATATATATATCGTCTCGCTTTATATATAGTAAGATAGTGTGGCCTAGTGGTTAGAGCATCCGCCTTATGCGCAGAAGGTTAAAGGTTCGAATCCCAGTATCACCTAGTCTAGGGAGTAGCTAAGGATTCATTGGATCTATGCGATCTCCTCGGTCGACTCAGTCGAATGATAGGAAAATTAATTGAGGGTAAAATAAGGAGGGGTACCTGTTAAAAGTTTGAGAAACTTCCTAGGAATAAGATACCCCTTCAGTACATACTGTAAACATAGTACAATTAACTATCAACAAGTGGTGTCAAAATCACTTGAAATTAAATAAATATCATTGTCTAAAAGTTTCTTGACACCACTTTAGAGAAACACTGCTAGTTATAATAAGTAGCAGGAACCCGTCTTACTATAAAGTGGTGTCAAGACTCAAGAGACTAAAATAATTATTACCTATTTAATTCGTTTTTGACACCACTTGGGGGTCCAAATTTTGGGCACTAAAATTCTTATCCCTTGGCCAATTTTTTATTTTTTCATACTGATTTGAAGGCCATTAAAGTATTTGACCCAGTCAAAAAAGTTTCAGTTGTATATCTTTTACGGTTTTTGAGGAAAGTCCCGTTAAAGTTGATGCCATGGTGTCCGTAAAATGGCACGGAACCATATAGTAAGATGTGTAAAACCTTTGCAAAGAGAAAGCATCGACTCGATGACCGCTCCATTTTGGTGCAGGTGTAATGCAGCGTGACTGTGCTGTCCTGTTATATTTCCTGCAACAAGTTTATCGGTATAAATTAATTAAAATTATTTTTCATGCTTTTATTTCTGAAGTTGTTTGTTTCTGAATATTTTTACCACACCCTTTAGAACCACTCTGACATATAATAGTCAATACCTGACACTTGTGTCTGTTGCTAACCATATGGGCGGTATACAAGCACATTATTTAATTTCATTTCAAGTTCACGAATAATTTAAAGTGAAAAGTTTATTACTCATGACAAATGTTAATTTACCGAGTACAAAAGCGCATCGTACAAGAAGTTGAGGATCGTTAGTGTAGTTGTCAATAACTTTGAGGAGCAGATTGAGAAGATGCTTATTGTGAGATATAATGTTACACGTATCCGTAAACAGAGACATCCTGGAGAGCAGTCTGCAGCTGTTCAGTAAAACCTGCAAAGTGCGGGGTTTAGCTAATCTCCGTACAATTTCCCATTATATATATAACAATTAATAATGAACCCTTAACAAAGTTACCCAATGAATTGTTGACATATAAACCAAATACTTGGAATGTTTGGGATACAGAAGAATTATAACATGTAGAAGTAAATTAGATTTGGCCTGTAGTGTAAATTATGTTTCAATCATGTTTATGTGACGGTGACCGACAACTAGGAACCTTTCAATCCGGGCTCCCACAGGTATCACATCACACATTGCCCAATCAGTGACGTATCATTTGTGATGTGATCCATATTCTAACCATCCGGCATCCTAACAGCCGGACAACCAAGAACCTGGGTAGGGTTCACATGACAGTTTAGTAAGTAGCTGTGTATTATGAAGTATATTGAAAAGAGTTTGAGCTCTCGGTATGTGTTCACATTACGGACGGGAGCCGGGTCCGAAAGGGGCTGGTTCTCGTATTCAAGGATGTGAGCCGAGCATGCAATGAGAGTGATACGAGACGTACAATCATTATCTTTAAAAAATATTTGTTAATTAATGCTCAAATATATACAGCTCAGCTGTGAAATCAGTGGATCTGAATGCTTTAAGTATCTCCAGAGGCTTGAGATATTTTGTAGAGTAAATTTTCAAATGCTTTTGTCCTCAACGAAAAAAAGTTTCCCATCTGTAGATATCGCACATCAAATTTTTAGATTTGCCTGTAATTCTATCGACGATAGTATCGTAAATGAAATCTTTAAAGAAGGTTTTAGCAGAAATCGAGTGTGCGTCACGATATTTTCGACAATTTCCAACTAATCAGGCCATTGATTGAGTGAAGAAAGCATTGATAAAGTGCCGGGATCACGTATCCGTCAGATATTAAAATGGTTTAGACATTTAATAAACATTAAACCCCAGGGGGGGGGGGGGGGGGGGGGGGCCAAAAGTCAGTTTACATACGTTGGCCTCAGTCACTGAGTGTCCGTTTGAGATAATTCTTAGAACCTAAGTGAATTATTTTATTTAAAGTTATTGCTGTAATCTTATATAATGTTTGAAAGTTTGAAAAAAAGGAGAGCAATTTCGAGTCTTACTAGTAATTACAGCTGTTAAACCTCAAACTTTAGCGCGCAATATCTCAGGAACACAAGGTCGGATTTTGATGCAGCTATAAAAACTATGTAAAACTGAACAATATGTGTTTAACTGAATGAACAATAAAAAATCAGCGCATATAAACCCCAACCTCAGAATCATTGTAATGATGCGTCATAGTGTACTGCAACTGTTCACAGACCCCCGTATCAGCTAGTAACTTCTCCGTCGCTGGAATGTCACATAAATTCCTAAATGCTCCTAAGATCTGGATCAGCAGGCTGCTCTTCAATTCACCCTTCATTTCATTACTTGTGTTGCATGTAACAAGATGTCGTTCTAATACCTAAAAAAGAAATGATCTTTAAAATTTAAATGGATTAAAACGATTCAAAAGTCAAATTACAATGGTAATGTCTGACCCAATACAAGAGAGTGAGAATAATATTGAAACCACCATATTATAATAAACAAAATATTAATATGATATTTAACAAAGAAATAATCTCCGCAAATCTTCAGAATGAGATTTAATTTTTTTATGAATTAAACTAACTCTTCTAAAAGTCAAATAACGGAGTATTTCTGAGTGGAGTTGGGTTAGAAACATATCAGTATGTCTGATTAACGTGGCCGTTATACAGTACAAGGAAAGAAATAGGAATATCATCGCATGGGTATTGCAATCAAACGAACTACTATTCTCTAACTCCTAAAACTGTATGGCTGTACTGATGATGACAGATGAGCTGAGGGTGTTGTTGTCCAATACAAAGCTACGGGCGAAGGTTAATGGAGTTTTTTCAGCTGGATTGTAAGTCTTTTCGGACTTCGGAGGCGTTGTACTTGTTTTTCGTTGAAAGCTTTATTCGAGAAATGGAACCTTTTTGTCAATGAAGACAAAACCGACTTTACTCATGTCTTTAGCTACTACAGGTGAAGTGGAAAATTATTGTTGGGGAACGAAGTTACGAAGCATGGAGGAAAAGGTTTGGGTCCGTCGTGTGTGGCAAAGCTGATATTCAGCGTCGCATAAACTTGGGATATGCTGCTTTAAACAACTACAAGAAGGCGTGATAAACTGTCTCTAAACAAACGTGCAATGCTTTAAACTTTTAAACAACTACAAGAAGGCATGGAGTGATAAACTGTCTCTAAACAAACGTGCAATTCTTTAGTCAACTACAAGAAGGCATGGAGTGATAAACTGTCTCTAAACAAACGTGGAATGCTTTAGTCAACTACAAGAAGGCATGGAGTGATAAACTGTCTCTAAACAAACGTGCAATGCTTTAGTCAACTACAAGAAGGCATGGAGTGATAAACTGTCTCTAAACAAACGTGCAATGCTTTAGTCAACTACAAGAAGGCATGAAGTGGTAAACTGTCTCTAAACAAACGTGCAATGCTTTAGTCAACTACAAGAAGGCATGGAGTGATAAACTGTCTCTAAACAAACGTGCAATGCTTTAGTCAACTACAAGAAGGCATGGAGTGATAAACTGTCTCTAAACAAACGTGCAATGCTTTATTCAACTACAAGAAGGCATGGAGTGATAAACTGTCTCTAAACAAACGTGCAATGCTTTAGTCAACTACAAGAAGGCATGAAGTGGTAAACTGTCTCTAAACAAACGTGCAATGCTTTAGTCAACTACAAGAAGGCATGAAGTGGTAAACTGTCTCTAAACAAACGTGCAATGCTTTAGTCAACTACAAGAAGGCATGGAGTGATAAACTGTCTCTAAACAAACGTGCAATGCTTTAGTCAACTACAAGAAGGCATGGAGTGATAAACTGTCTCTAAACAAACGTGCAATGCTTTAGTCAACTACAAGAAGGCATGAAGTGGTAAACTGTCTCTAAACAAACGTGCAATGCTTTAGTCAACTACAAGAAGGCATGGAGTGATAAACTGTCTCTAAACAAACGTGCAATGCTTTAGTCAACTACAAGAAGGCATGGAGTGATAAACTGTCTCTAAACAAACGTGCAATGCTTTAGTCAACTACAAGAAGGCATGGAGTGATAAACTGTCTCTAAACAAACGTGCAATGCTTTAGTCAACTACAAGAAGGCATGGAGTGATAAACTGTCTCTAAACAAACGTGCAATGCTTTAGTCAACTACAAGAAGGCATGGAGTGATAAACTGTCTCTAAACAAACGTGCAATGCTTTAGTCAACTACAAGAAGGCATGAAGTGGTAAACTGTCTCTAAACAAACGTGCAATGCTTTATTCAACTCATTCTCCAGTCCCTAAAATATTCCTTCTAAAACTAGATGTTGTTCACTAACAAAAACTTGTATAAACGCTGCAACGCTGACCCATTGTCAAAAAAGTGGATAATGTCCATAGTCTGTGGAGAATGTTAGAACATGTTTTGCGGGGTCCTGGTGATGGACCAGCGTTTTCCTCCTTCGTTTTTACCCTAAATACACTGAACTTACCAGAAGAAGAGGAAGACCCCAAAGCAATTTATTTTTGCTGATTGTGCATGATTTATGTAAACGAAATCTATTTATTAATAATATTTTTGATCTCTACTATCTCCGTAAATTAGCTTATGAAGAGAGATATTGGCAAAAACTACATCGAGGCTTTGACATTTAGTTATTTGTTTTAGGGGAAGATGATACTTGGGCGTTGTTAAAAACTTTCATTTTAATAACATAGTTACCTGAAGAACGCCATATTGCACGAGTATGTCACCGATAGTGTTATCAGTGTTAGCAGACAAGACCTTCAGCGCCCCAATACAATAAACGAATGCGAGACCATTGTCCTCTATCTGAAAGGTTACTGTTTTATGGGTTGGGTGGGGCGAAAGTCAGTGTATATACACAATATAGTCTATATACCATTAGTACATTTAGTGCACTATGCCAAACCATGCGTTATCCGAAGAAACCCATGAGGACACAATTTTTAAAGTGACACTAAAATGACTTGAGTGCCATGACACTTTTGGCAGTGAAAGTGAAATGACTAGTAGTCTAGAAAGTGTGGCACAGAAATGCCTTCAATCTTAACTGCCCCTGTAAGGAAAATCCATCAGTTAGTTAATATTTCATAACATACATTATACATAGTACCAAGACAGTGTAAATTTTTAGCATTTTGGACTATAATGTTTAAAAAGTCCATAAAAAACTGAATTTTGCGACTTTCCTACGTTTAAAATTCAGAATATATCTCATCCATCTTATTCAAAGATTGAAATACTGATATCTGGATATTATCCGGTTGGAAGAGACAAGGACAAATGAAACAAGGAAGTTAGGAGTAAGGGCAAATTTTCGGCGTCAACGCCATCTTCAGGCTAAAATTGTTATAAATGTTAGTATATAATAAATGCTTCTATACTAGTTAAAATGCTAAATTAAAATTACACACACTGAATACAGGTTACATCAAATGGTATCATACATTACATTGAAAATAGTGATGTACACACGTTTTACACTCTGTCCAAGTACATAATATCTACTGAACAGCAGGGTCGTGTGCTATTTGTTTAAATTTGTCTTTGAATATGTTGTAAAAGAAATCCCTTAAGCTTCTCGCACTCTTCTTTGTTATTGATACTAGGTTTAAATAAATTAATGTAGTAAGCTTCTGTCACTTTACGTTTAATGGTGCTATATAAGTTAATTTCTAAAATATCGAAGGAAATATCTGGTTCTATGTTATCGTGAAACTCTGAATAATGAGCAGCCAACGCATTATCAGGATAGGTTAAAGGCCTGTTGACTGCTCTTCGATGCTCTGAAAATCTATCGTGTGCTGTTCTACTCGTTTCCCCTATATATAGCTCTTGACATAATTTACACGTAACTTTGTATATGACACATTTTGGTTTGCAGTCGTGATTTGTTGTGATGAGTGGACATATGATACAGTTTGGTATGGTGCAGTGTGGTTTGTCGTGTGGTCGTGATGAACATAGGATCTCTGAGAGTTTCTTACCTGGTGTGAATATGAATTTGACCGGTAAGTTGTGTGAGAGGGCAAATTGAGTGACTTCTTTGGAAAATGGCTCGTTGATGAATGGTAGAGTGCATGTTACGTGGTCGGTATCTTGTATGTTTGACGATGAAGGGTTATGACGTGTTGTAGGTGAGAGAGGGTGAAGTCGTCCTGTTTTGTTTATACGTCGTGGGTCTTGGTAACCGTTGTTGACCAACAAGTTGTCTACTATCTTCATGGACTCTTCTTTATACTCTGGTGTTGATGAGCAAAAAGCAGCCGTTTTGTAGAAGTTCTTGATGGTTGCTACTTTAGTTCCCTCATTGTGGTGGCTGTTGGCGTGCAGTGTGATATTCTTTTTCTGCTTCTTTCTGTAGAATTTGTGGTGTAGTGTTCCCTGTTCGTCGATCTTTATCTGGGTGTCGAGGAATGGGGTGAAATCCTGACGGCTTTCCGGATAGTCAATTTCCCATTTGAGCAACTGGTCTGGGTCCTCGTTTGAGATGGACTCCACTATCCTCAGAGCTTCTTCTTTGGAGCTGGCTAGAGATGAGTAGGATGTGTAATTATGACAGCAAAACAGTAGACTTATTTAAATCACATAATACCCAACTACCGACTATTTATTTAATACAGAAAACTCATAAATTTGATTGTGATGTCTTAGTTTCAGATGTAGATATTATTTCTAATTGTAAAATACGTCCAATTGTGTCTTGTATAAATTCCCCTTCTGAGAAGCTTGCTTGGATTGTTAAATCTATTCTATCTCCTCTGCTTAATCATGTTCCATCTCACCTGAGCAATATACACACTCACCTAGAAGAGCTTCAAAACATGTCACATCAACAACTCTCAGGTCTCTCATTCTTCACAGCTGACGTCACAGCACTGTACACAAACATCAACATCAGTGGCTGCATTCAAGACCTCATTACACTCACCGAAGAACATTGGGAAGACCTCGACACCTGGGGTCTAACACTCACGCACATCCACAAGATCCTTGAATTCGTCTTCACCAACTCATACTTTACATATCACTCAAGACTCTACCTCCAGAAAATTGGTCTCTTCATGGGGTGCCAACCATCACCAATAGGAGCGATAGTACGAGTATATATGTTCGAGAGAAGATCGATTTACACTGATTTACACGTCTCATTCTACCGGAGATACGTGGATGATGCCGGGAGTCTAGCCAGCTCCAAAGAAGAAGCTCTGAGGATAGTGGAGTCCATCTCAAACGAGGACCCAGACCAGTTGCTCAAATGGGAAATTGACTATCCGGAAAGCCGTCAGGATGTCACCCCATTCCTCGACACCCAGATAAAGATCGACGAACAGGGAACACTACACCACAAATTCTACAGAAAGAAGCAGAAAAAGAATATCACACTGCACGCCAACAGCCACCACAATGAGGGAACTAAAGTAGCAACCATCAAGAACTTCTACAAAACGGCTGCTTTTTGCTCATCAACACCAGAGTATAAAGAAGAGTCCATGAAGATAGTAGACAACTTGTTGGTCAACAACGGTTACCAAGACCCACGACGTACTTACAAAACAGGACGACTTCACCCTCTCTCACCTACAACACGTCATAACCCTTCATCGTCAAACATACAAGATACCGACCACGTAACATGCACTCTACCATTCATCAACGAGCCATTTTCCAAAGAAGTCACTCAATTTGCCCTCTCACACAACTTACCGGTCAAATTCATATTCACACCAGGTAAGAAACTCTCAGAGATCCTATGTTCATCACGACCACACGACAAACCACACTGCACCATACCAAACTGTATCATATGTCCACTCATCACAACAAATCACGACTGCAAACCAAAATGTGTCATATACAAAGTTACGTGTAAATTATGTCAAGAGCTATATATAGGGGAAACGAGTAGAACAGCACACGATAGATTTTCAGAGCATCGAAGAGCAGTCAACAGGCCTTTAACCTATCCTGATAATGCGTTGGCTGCTCATTATTCAGAGTTTCACGATAACATAGAACCAGATATTTCCTTCGATATTTTAGAAATTAACTTATATAGCACCATTAAACGTAAAGTGACAGAAGCTTACTACATTAATTTATTTAAACCTAGTATCAATAACAAAGAAGAGTGCGAGAAGCTTAAGGGATTTCTTTTACAACATATTCAAAGACAAATTTAAACAAATAGCACACGACCCTGCTGTTCAGTAGATATTATGTACTTGGACAGAGTGTAAAACGTGTGTACATCACTATTTTCAATGTAATGTATGATACCATTTGATGTAACCTGTATTCAGTGTGTGTAATTTTAATTTAGCATTTTAACTAGTATAGAAGCATTTATTATATACTAACATTTATAACAATTTTAGCCTGAAGATGGCGTTGACGCCGAAAATTTGCCCTTACTCCTAACTTCCTTGTTTCATTTGTCCTTGTCTCTTCCAACCGGATAATATCCAGATATCAGTATTTCAATCATGAGACTAATAAACAGCGAACTACTCCGTTATTTGATATTCAAAGATTATTTGGATTTTGGTCGGAATACTTAAACTGTGCCCAAAATGAGTAAAAAGTCATTGATTTGGTAAAATTTTGAAGGCCCATACTTTTGATCAGCTTATGAATGAACTGTAACAACTTCCAAGAAACGTTGGTCTGTAATTATGTTACCTAGGAAAAACCTATTGTGTGCCTGTATTCAGTAAAAATTCACTCAAAAAATTACGATTGAGTTTCTTTACATTGCAGTAGCTAGACAGCAACAAATTATAACGTTTTTATATCATACTGTCGAGATTAAGTCTGCTCAAAAAAATATCAATGGTATGAACACACTGCTCCCTCACACCGCTCCCTCAAACTCTCAAACAATGTTCTCAACTAAAAAGAGTGCCATTTAACAGTAAAAATGACCATTTCCGTCGAATAAGTCACTTTTTACTGATTTTCAGGACACATATGCTGTTTAATTTGTCAGAATACAACTAAACTAAGATTTATATCTGCAACATAATCGATTCGGTGGTTAGATAAGATTTCAATAATGCTGATATTGACTTATAATAGTTGGTAATTCCCAAGTTGGCTGATGTTGCAGGTTTTGTAGTATTACTAGTCCAACATTTAGGACATTGATCATTTTGGGAAACTTCCACCCTTGTGTCATGTGATCAACCTCCGCGTCCGCCCTCGCGACTTCCGCCCTCGAGTCAAACCATTTAGGAAACTTCCGCCCTTGAGTCCTACGCCTTTGGGACTTCCGTCCTCGCGACCTCCGCCATCGCGATTTCCGCCCTCGCGACCGTTGGCTGCAGCAGTCACTACAGCTGATTAGTGGCACTCTAATATTTTTATCTCTTTTTGAGCCCTTTATGTACATATTACTTTTCGAAATAGATGCTCAAACTAAGACTAACATACCATGGATCAAGAAATAAACAATTTTTGTCTTTTTACATCTTTCTATATGACTGATATAGTGATATACTGAATTTGGGCACTCGGGACATGATTAAGTGTAAGCAATACAGAGTTCAAGCCTTCTTTTAACTGATTTTAACTGATCTTGAATCTAAAAGTCAATGAGGTGACTGAAAAAGAAAACTGAAATTTTAATACTTATTTGATCAATTTTTAAAATAAAATTCCAACCTAATTTAGCTCTTTCTAGTCCCCTGCTACACGGCATGTAAACAGGGATTGGCTAGTTAGAGGCGGTCCGTGTAGGCCTTACACTGTGCTTTCAGCAATACTCATAAGTATTTCCGTGGCTGTGGTTGCAATGCGCCTAGTCTACTGGAATGATTCTTCGGAATTTCGCTGGATTGTACAACTTTCGTCTTGGTAGATTCCAAACACAAGGAAATTTTCCTCTTGGTTGGTAATATACTCAATGATGGAAGTATAGTGTATTGGCTATGCCCCGCTTACTAGTTTAGCTCTTTCTAGTCCCCTGCTACACGGCATGTAAACAGGGATTGGCTAGTTAGAGGCGGTCCGTGTAGGCCTTACACTGTGCTTTCAGCAATACTCATATGTCTAGGTAAACTATAGGTAAAAATATAATATTAATCATAAGCTAAAATGTACTAATCTTTGTATTCTAAATGGGGAAAAAGAAAAAACATTGTCAGTCAGTCGAGAAAATTGTCAGTCAGGCTATATGGCAGTCGTATTCAGATATAGAAATGACTTTTTGCTGGATTCTGTCACCTACTGGAATTGCTAATGATGACTAAAATGCTGAAATATTTTTTAGCAAAATGTAACGAAATTGATGAAATTAGTGATTTGGAGGTTAAAATGGTTTGCTGTTTTTGGCACAGCTGCTGAATATTTTCACTTCATCCTATGTAGTATGTACATTGTACAAATGTATGGTTGCACTTTAAAAAGCATTATGACTTTTACTTCATTTTGTGCACTCTACTTTGAAAAAGGTAAAATCAGCAAAACAGTGTCACTTTTTTAAAACGTGTCTATTACGAGAAGAAAATTTAAACTTTTTTTGTAAAGATTTTGCACTTGGTACTATGACCCAAAAATTGGAAAAAGTTACTGCATTATGTTTCCCGTTTGCAGTCTATGATTTTTCTAAGTGATTATGTTGACTGAAATCCAAGAGTTTTGTGTTCAAAACGTTCTAATACAGACTGAAATAACCAGAATTTACAAGTACAATGGAAGTAGATTTAAATAAGTTACAATTAAATACTAATTCTAGACCTAAGTCTTTTAAGGAGAACTAAGGAGAACTATTACTCTCAAACCCAATTTTTTTTCGGGAGTCAGAACTTGCTTTCAAACCTTTGCATTGCTTTCCTTAATTAGAATACTGTTATCTGATTGTTTTCATCAATTTATTATATATTTTTGATATATTCTAACCGCAATCATCGAGTAAAGTGCACCTTTTGCTGATTGAGAACGTTTAACAAACTGTGAACAGTTTTCTCCTCTAAAAAGATGGCGTCATTGTTTTCGCATCGTGTTAGCTTGAAGATTAACTTAGAAATACTAATCAAGTTCTTCTCGTACACTCCCAGGCACAACAGTAGTCTGAAATTACAAAGTTCCGAGGTTAAATTTGAACAAAATGGATGAATAAATTTTAGTATTTTTAACACGCTTCGAAAATAATAACACGTGACGTGTCTTTCTCAAATGACTTTCAGGGTTATGATACTTTCAGGGGGGTTAGGGTTTACCCCTGCTGTGATGTGATGGTACAAATTAATACAGCAAATGGAGAGATCAAGTTCTGGTTGTTTGGCCCCTTCACCTAAAGTGATATATTGACATAATTATAAATATTTTATCACCACGATTATCAACAACCCACAAATAATTCATTTTTAATTTCAAGAATTTTATATAAATGTAATAGATTTGTAGTAAAAATTCTAATAATGGCTCTACGGTTGAAATTGTGCTCGTTACCTGGAAATCTTTAGTAAAAGTCTACTATCTTTTTTATCAAGCAGGTTAATGAGACATTGGAACACTTTGACTTTGTATTGGTGAGGAAGAACAACTGATCCTGTGAGAAAACCTCCGCGCAACAAACACTCTGACAGTTCCTCGACCTGTTGATACACTGTATACTATATACTTATACTATATTATACTGTATACTATACACTGTATACCATACACTGTATACTATACACTGTATACTATATACTTATACACTGTATACTATACACTGTATACTATATACTTATACTATACACTGTATACTATATACTTTTACTATATACTGTATACTATACACTGTATACTATAAACTGTATACTATACACTGTATACTATATACTTATACACTGTATACTATACACTGTATACTATACATTGTATAATATACACTGTATACTATATACTTATACACTGTATACTATACACTGTGTACTATATACTTATACTATATTATACTGTATACTATACACTGTATACTATAAACTGTATACTATACACTGTATACTATATACTTATACACTGTATACTATACACTGTATACTATACATTGTATAATATACACTGTATACTATATACTTATACACTGTATACTATACACTGTATACTATATACTTATACTATATTATACTGTATACTATACACTGTATACCATACACTGTATACTATACACTGTATACTATATACTTATACACTGTATACTATACACTGTATACTATATACTTATACTATACACTGTATACTATATACTTTTACTATATACTGTATACTATACACTGTATACTATAAACTGTATACTATACACTGTATACTATAAACTGTATACTATACACTGTATACTATATACTTATACACTGTATACTATACACTGTATACTATACATTGTATAATATACACTGTATACTATATACTTATACACTGTATACTATACACTGTGTACTATACACTGTATACTATACACTGTATACTATACACTGTATACTATACACTGTATACTATACACTGTATACTATATACTTATACACTGTATACTATACACTGTATACTATATACTTATACTATACACTGTATACTATATACTTTTACTATATACTGTATACTATACACTGTATACCATACACTGTATACTATACACTGTATACTATATACTTATACACTGTATACTATACACTGTATACTATATACTGTATACTATATACTTATACTATATTATACTGTATACTATACACTGTGTACTATACACTGTATACTATACACTGTATACTATACACTGTATACTATACACTGTATACTATACACTCCGTAGTATAGGTATATATAGTATAAGTATATAGTACATATAGTATAATATACAGTGTATACTATACACTGTATATTATACTATATGTACTATATACTTATACTATATATACCTATACTACGGATACAATTTAGAAAAATAAATTGTTTTCACATGCAATATTAATTTATAACAAGCGATCTTTAAAATAAACAGTATAAATGTAACCTGATTAAGTATGTCCACATTTTCTATCTCCATGTTCAAAGCAGCAAGGATTGGTGTTATCTTCGATCTCCAGTACGCTTCAAAATTGCTACTTTCTTTCTTTTTCTGTTCTTAAACAGAATCGGTGATAAAGATAGAATCATTGCTTATCATTTTCAATTAAAGCAACAAAATTCGATTTCTTGGGTTTATTAAGATTGGAAAAGTTTTGGAACTACAAAGAATGAATGGGCAATCACATCGATGTTTTTATCACAGAAACTAAACCGCATATATTTGTGCGACTGGTGATATGAGCAGTAAAAAATAACTGTCAAATTTTGCATACCTTCTTCCCGTTTTTGAGTTTGAGGTGAATCTATGGGTGATAAAACTCGTGGAGTAACATTAAGCTCTGTCAGCTGTGTAAGGTCGATCGAAGAGGAGGAAGAGGTCGGGCGAGTAGTGAACAAACTCCTTTTGTTTTCGCTTGGAGTCTAAAATATGATAACATAATTTAATACTTCATGTTAAATGTTTGGCTTTGTGATAAATTGCTCTGAAGTTCTAAACCATTTTCACAACTACAATTAAATACATTTATTGAGGACGTTACAAAAGGAATATATTGATTGAAATAAATTTTCGTGCACATACAGAATGAATGGTTAATAATTTAATATATATGTAGACCAAGGTCTGTGCACGGGATGCTTCCTGGAAGAATCCAGTTCTTTTAGCGGGGCACCCTACCTAAAGCCAAATTGAGATATAATAATCATATTCCTAAGAAATAATCAGAAATCGAATACCAATCAAATAATATGATATACGTATAGGAGTAGTAACCATATTTACTATGCAAAATGCCCCAACCACATAGTGTAAATTTATATAGAATTCAAATTCCATATCATCATTAAACCTCAATAGTCAATATAATAGCCCAAGCAAAATTAAATAACTTCTTATATACCTTACTGTCATACTACAAATTGATTAAACATTTGAAATCTGTTAACCAGAGAATAAATTTCTAAACCTAATGCAAGTGAAATAATTTAGATGCAATAATGAATGCCTAATGTGAGTATCATCTGTCAATGTCCTTGTAAAACAGTCTGTACAAGAGATATGAGTAACTAAAATAGAAGAAAAAACAGGAAGTTGTCGTCTGTTGAAAAATAAATAAAATATCTAGAATATAAATTAGAATATAAAATAACATTCAGTCAATGTGTCGTCAATAAACTGTACAATTATCAAATGTTAAAACTGGGTGATACAGTCACCAAAAATAAATACTAAGTATGATAAGTTAATAAATTAAATGTGGTCTATAGAACTACCACTAGGTATAATAGGTCAATAAATTAAAAGTGGTTTATAAAACTACCACTGTGCGAATCCCTTCTCCAGTTAAAACATGTCAGTCATGTGCAAAATCAATCAGAATGGTAAGGTGGTCAAAAAGGGAATATCCTTTCGACATAAATTATATATGCCTCAGATTTAAAAGAATAAGAAGATACTTAGTTATCGTCGACTATGATTGCAGTGTAAAATTTGTCATATGAATTGTCGACGGTGTAATTAGGGTCTGTTGTTATATTTAATGTAGTCTGAGAAATCCTCACTCTCCTCCCGTCCTAAGAGGGTGTTTCTTTTGTCGTTTATACGAACCAAGCACCTCTGCGATAACAAAGTTCACATATCATAGGAAAATTTACCATGAACAAATTTAGTATAAAAACCAACATAAGCACCTTTCAAGCCTCAGTGATAAAAAATCCAAAAATTCTTTATAAAATTTCTCTCGAAATTGATTTTATAGTTGTTTCTGATAGAGGGGAGTGATATCTATCAGCTGCTTTTGGTCCCATGGAAAAATATTGTTCCTAGCCGAAGTTATCGCCGGTCAAACTCAAAAGTCACCTCTCATGTGTAATTGTATTGTGCGAGCGATTTTCAATCACGCGCCCTGAAAATCGAGTCTAAAAATCTATCTTCTCCTATATTTTTTGAGCAATCACCTTGAAACTTTCAGGATATGTTCTAAGGACCATTTAGAAGATTCTGGTGTATCAGAATTTTAAGATAGGCCTTTGAAAATTTTTCTTCGATTTTGAAAATGTTGAAGATTTTCAAAATCGCTCGCGCAATACAATTACACATGAGCGCTGATCTTTGACCGGCGATACTTCGGCTAGGAACAATATTTTTCCATGGGACCAAAAGCAGCTGATAGATATCACTCCCCTCTATCAGAAACAAATTTAAAAAACCAATTTCGAGAGAAATTTCATAAGACCCCTGTCCCCTTAACATAATAATATTATTGCGATAGGTCATTGAATGTGGAATATGATCTGAAAATATTAGGGGCCACATCCAATCAATATTGAATTGCTTGTACTCGTTTTTGTGAACATCTAAACTCTATCGTAATCCGGAATATGTTTTAAAAAGATGTCGAAAATCGGGTTTAAAATGACAAAGTTATCATTATCAAGGAATTTGTTTCTCTCGTTACCAAAATCGATATTGGTAATCAATGATTATCCAATCATTGATTCCCACGATACGGACCTTGTCAACCCAATAACCCGATCAAACGTAATTAATTATGCTTCATATCTCGGTCATCTGAGAAACTAGAACTATTATTTTTCAGGGCGAATGTAATTCGAATGGCCAAACACAATTCGATACCGAGCTATTAAGGCCAATATATGTAAACTGACTTTTGCTAAAGTCAACTTTTCTGTATTTTAATTTCATATAATACCACTATAAATAATAAATAGTACGAGATACAGAATGTTTAGATTTAAGATGAATCTTTCTGTGTAAAACGTTATGACTTGATTATAAACTTACTCAAAGGAGTCTGTAGATTATCGCTAGGGCTAGCAAGGATTTCCTTTTATTTCTTCTTTTTTAAAGAGAGGCTTGGCCTGGTTGGCCTACGAGAGGATAGTATGGGGATGCTCTGCCTGCCTCTGGAGGTTGTCGGAGAAATCAAAGTGTAAAGTGGAGGATTGTGTAATGATGGGAGACGAGTCATATATGAACGCTTAAGTGCCAGCTGGGTCTGGAAAAGGAAGATGAGCTAAGACAACGTGCGTGTAGTCTTTATGTCACACCGGTCCAGGCTCCAGCTCCTCTGGCACATAAGTGTTTGGTTTGCAAATTTAAAATAGTGAAGATGTGTTGGTTGTCAAATAATTCATTGACGGAGAGGTAACAGTCTTGAAAATATTGCCCTCTTATTTGGGCAATAGCTGGGCACTGTCCAAGGAAGTGTGAGACAGTTTCCTCTTCGTCACCGCAAATAGGACAAGCACTGGTGCTTGATTTGCGAATGATGTGGAGATGTTTAGTTAGGCCACAGTGTTCTGTGATAAGGTGCACTGCAGTTCTGTAATTTTGTCTGTTGTTGCTGAGTGTAGTGTTAAGATTTTTGATGATGTTGATGTGTTTGTGGCCGAGCGTTATTTTGGTGAGTCTGGGACCATCAGTTAACTTGGTTTCTTGATTCAGTCTGGGGACTTTGTCGTCGATCAGACGTTTAATGCCTTAGATTTGGACAATTTTAGGCTATAACCTCGAACGGCCGTAAATTGGTTTCCTTAATGATGGTCAAGGATGCAAACACAGTCTCGAACACAGAACTAAGACTATCTTTGGTGTGCGGTAAGAGGTACACGTGATCTCTTATCTCTGCAGTCTGCTCCAATCAAGTCGCTAAAGTAATTTCTACCAATTGGCACACAGCAAAAATGTAAAATTGTAAATCAATTCATCAAAAAGGACCCGTTTGGCTCGCAGTAACCATGTCCCGGCGTCCCGCTTAGACATTGTCATAGTTTACTAAGGAAGTGTAGTCCTGCTCATATACTCTCTATACATAAAAACCTACAGAGTGTAAGAACGCTATAAATAAATGTTCCAAAAAATATGATCCAATACTTTGGATATAAAATATCAAAAAAACAAATTTTACTGGACCCTTCAACATCCGGTAAGAACTTACGTAAGGTCGAGAGGTTCCAGCAGCTCTGATTGAATGCCTGGCAGCATTTATTATATCTGAGCTAGTCGCAATATTCGGCAACTCGTAGAACTCTCTTTTTGATTTAGCCATGCCTTTATCCGAGAACCTAATGTTGGAGATGGTAAGTGCGACTTATTGACAGAATTATTGCCTTATTTTCAATTACAACAAACTATATATTAATTAGCATTGAATATACAATCACTGTATTCAAATACCTTACAAGACATATTTATAACGTACGAAATGTGGCGGTTTTCCGAAAATTTCGCCATATTTTCGGACCGCCAAAATTTCAGTCGTCGTAATAGAATCCGTCGCATTATCTTTTAGCTTATTTCAATGACTGTGCCTTCACTGCTTTATTTTGTTTCTAAAAAGTAATATCAAGTAAAATAAATAAATAAATTCTGGCATCTTGGGACAAATTATCACCACACCAATGACGAATTGAATGTCAAGCAATACAGTTTAAATTTGCATTAAAATACATGTATGTGCTAACATGAAAGTCTTACAGTCTTAATACAGACTAAGTTTGAACATGATTTTACCGAATTTCAGAAATTTCCTTACTGCTTACTGTCACAAAAAATGATGAAAAATACCCTTATTTTCTGTGACGTCCGAAATTTGACGGTTTTTGTTCAATTTCGCCATATTTTCGGACCGCCAAAATTACGGTCGTCGCAAATTAGGCCGCCATAAATATGTCTTGTAAGGTAGTAAGTAATAAAGTAGAGGGAGGCGAGGGGGAAGTACAAAAGAAACAACCCTAATTTAAAGGAATTTTCTGCAAAATAAAAGGAAGCAAAAGGCACTTTTGGATACATAAACTTAACATTTAAGGCCACCAGGGGAGGGGGTTCCGAGATAAAATTTGAGATATTATGTTGTAGACTGTAGATCTCCATCTAAATTTTCAAATTATTTTTTTGTCATAGCCGAAAAAAAGTTCCCTATCTGACATCCTATTGTAAGTAAAAGCTTAAAATGCAATTTTGTTTTAAAAATCTATCTTCTTTTACAGTTTTCGAAATGAGCCCTTGTAACTCGGCAACAGTGTTCGTCAAGGACTTTTCGACAGTTAACTTCATAAAAAGAGTTAGAAGCAAACATTTTCAAATCGCTGCTTTACAATTGATTGTGCCTATCTCAGGAACAAATGTTTCAAACGGATGAAAGCTCTAGGGTAAGATAGGTTTTAAAGGTGGTTTCAGGAGACCCAAAAGACTGATTTTTGAGAAAATATGTTAACCTCAATTTTTCAACAAATAAATGGCATTTGTAATATTTCTGTTAACGTTAACAGAACCTAGAGTAGGTGGATTGCCACCTCAATCTTACCACAAACCATGCTGATGACCCAATATTTATCACTGGACCGTCCAAAGAATCAACATACTTGAAGGCCAATAAAGTTCTTGATTTCGTATGCAGATTCATGAGAAGTAATCTCTTACATATAAATATGTCTAATTGCTGCTACATAAATTTCTACCTGCATACGAATCTGATGAAACCTGTGCCAGGGTTAGGCCGTATGCCAATGAATACGACAAATCACAAGAAATATTTATAAATGGACACAAAATTGTCAAGGTTAGCTACACCAAATTTCTTGGTGTAGTAATTGATGAAAAACTTAGCTGGGGCCCACTTATAGAATATCTAAGAATAAAACTTAGATCCGCTGCAGGAGCACTTAACAAGATAAAACATTCAGTTCCAGGGGAACACTACCAAAAACATACTCTGCATTATGAGAATCACATCTTGCTTGCGGCTCAGCCCTTAAAGACCAATCAATTAAACAAATAATCAATTAAACAAATAATCAATTAAACAAATAATCAAAGTTTTAGCACATTTTACAGCATAAAATTTAAACAAATGAAAACATATAATAATGCTAGTAGTGGTAAATGGCCGTTTGTTCTGAGCTGTATGGTTTTTTGACAATCAACTAGCGGGCAAGGAATGTACTGGCTGGTAGCTTTTGTACACACCAGAACGCTAGTCTGGTTGATTAGTGACCAAATTAGAGGCGTTGATAGGAAGGCATTATAATTTGTGGGTGTAAGAGGGAATATTTGGCATGCACTATTCTAGCAGCTATTTTGTAACAAATGGTCTTTACAATTAAGGGACGGTAAGTATTTTGGGTGTTCAATACTAAATCATGGCTAAATGTCTAAGTGGGGGCCGGGGCTTTAAAATTAGGGGAGAAAAAGAAATGAATATTGGGTTATAATATTAAACCAACCAAACGAAGCTGTTCATAACTCAGACACGTTGTATAAGATTTTTTTTTGGAGACCTCAATGCATACCTCGACAAACATGCCACTTGTGCACGAGCCAGACCTTATACAAAACAGAGGTTAGGAGTTGCTTTTTTCGAAAAAGAGCACACCAAGCCCATTTTTAATCGACTAAAATTGCTTACTTTTCGCACTCCATACTCGTTGTATTGTACTATAGACTCATCAAAACGTGATACAAGCAATGTCATAATCCTCCCAAAAAAAACCAACACCTTTCTTTACATAGCCTCCAAATTGTGGAATATTCGACCAACTTAGGGCGGCTTCAGCGTCCGAACAGAAATAGTCTTCTTCCAAATCTGTCTATCCAGCATGAGTTTGTTAATCTCTGTGGAATATTAGCTTACATAAACGGATTCTAAATGAGAATGGGGAAATCCTCACACTTCTATATCTTTGGTTAAATCACGCTGTAAAACTATCATCCTAGGATCTCAATCCATCAACAATAATAATACCTGGACTTACCACAACTTTCACATCGCCCCTCACTCAGTCACAGACCAAACCAGTTCATCACTCACTCACCCACCAAATTGCCGACCCAATATCTATTGAAGTGGCGAAAATTTTCTAGACAAATGACATATCGATATTATTGCTGCAGCAGATACAAATGTGTAAATTAATTTATTAATTTATCACTAATTATTTTATTATAATAAAATCACTTATGAGAAATGGTTATTTTGACTTTGAATATTTGAAGTAAATATGAATTGATTGTGGGTATAAAATAAAATTTGTTTTACTAAAAATTTGTTTTACTAAATACCAACATAATTATATTCCCAACCGTCTGAATCATTAAATTAACTTGGAAATTCAATCCTCAACTTAACTTTTAACGTTTTAAACTGCTATGGTGACATTATCTTAACTTATTTTTTTTACATACTTCTTCTAGTGTGGTGACTTGGGGTCCATAAATATAACAATACAAGCTGATAAACCAAAAAGAACAACGGGGTACTGGGTAGGTAACCCTGGGTGCGTAAACTTTACGGTCTGCTCTCTCCAAGATCAGCCTGCTTCTCCATTTTACCGTGAAGCCTAATTTCTAGTTTTTATGCAAGTGCATGTTTACTAATCTTAATGTACTTAACAACTCAATAGCCCAAGTCACCATACCCGTAGTATATTCCATGGTAATAGAAGAACTTTAAAGTTTTTCAAATTGTTGCTATAATTGATTTAAATAAAAATTTGTTGTTTTCTTGAAAATTTTGTTGTTTTCTTAATCAATCATGAGTATCGTTTGTGGCTAACAATCAGAAGATATTATATCGCTCTTATTGTATAAAAGTCTCCATGTATTGTTGAGTGCAACAGCACAGTGTATCATTGGTACTATTGTAGTAGTTGTTGTATGCTTATCGTGGTATGCATTATTCTGCATTTAAACAGGCACAGTGTATTTTCTGGTGATCGAATTGTCACATCAACTTTGATGATAACCTTATTATATTTGTTATTTAAATATGCATTATATAACATAAATACAGGGTAGGCCAACAGTCACTGGACATGCGTTGGCCTTAATAGCTCCGCCGTGTTTTATATTTGAGAGCTGTTGCTTTGCAGATAGCATACTGTACCTTCTGATTCGAGGATTCCGTCGTCAAAATGTGAAAAATTCTAATATTTAAGATCACGCCCATTCAAAATTAAAACACCTACATTGTTCTCTCTGAACATGCTGGACGCCTGATTTTTTTCAGAGAGGGTAGATTATTGACTAGGTTGCCGTTTGGTGTGAGCAATAGCGAACAGCACGCACACTCCTTTGCCCCGTCAACCTATATCTAATCTATTTAAAGAGTGACAACCATACTACACATTGAATTAGGATTCCTTTAAATATCAAATTGATTTATTGTAAACTTGTTTACTCTGTAATAAATGGCATAAAATTGAATTTTGTTTAACTGAATTTTGTTTAACTGATTGAATGTTGCATATGATCTAAAAAATTTACGTGAAACAGATTAGAAATGACGAAGTTATCAAGCATTTTTTGTATCTCGTTAGTGCCTTACAAAATGACAACCCAAAACGGCATCACTTCAAATCCGATTTGGGAAAAAGTTTCATTATTCTTTCACGTGTCTTACTGTTAGATATATATATGATGTTTTAAATATTATACCAGTTCTGTTTTTACCAGAATATATTAAAAAAGGAAAATTTTTTATACTTTGAAAAAAATTTAAAAACGTCATTTTGTGAGGCGTAAAAATCATTTTTTGTTTTCATACTTGAACACAGTATTTGGTTATATTTGATATTTTCTATGACTGGATAGATCACTTTTCAGTGTTTAGTCAACGTTTGACATGTTTTAGGAGTTTTTATTACTCTCTGCTTTCACAAAATAGAAGCTTTATTTCGTTGAGTTTTGAAATCAGAGTTTGAAATCAAAGAGTTTGAAATCAAAGTTTTGATATATCAGAGCTGCACTTTTTTAATGCTACTTGATTGTTAACTGTCAGATTATGATTATTTTTTACTCCTTCTTTTATTGACTGTTTCTGATCCATTTTAGATGATGAAAGTAATTCAATCTGAAACATTGTCATTTTGTAAGGCTTTTCGGTGTCATTTTGTGAGGCATTTTGATCAAAATTGATGATCAAACAAACACATTTAGGCTCATCATAAGCTTACTGGGTTTAAGAATACCAATAATTAGGCAAGGGGCATCCAATATAAATATGCCATCTTTGTATCATAAAATAAAACTGTCATTTTGTGAGGCATAACACTGTCATTTTGT